AAATGCCCATCAACTGTGGAATGAAAAATAAGATGTGGTATCTTTATGCAATGGAATATTACTCAGCTAAAAAGAATGATAATCTTGAGGTTTTTATAGGTAAATGCAGGCAACTTGAGACCATATTCACAATTGAAATAAATCAAACTCACATTTGTAAATATTGTATTGTCTCACTAGTGTAAAAAATTGAAAGAGTAATAAAATCACAAAATATATATTGTGATAATGAAAATGAAAGAAAATGCTCAAAAGGAAAAAAGAACTAGGATAAGAAAAAGGAAAAAGGGAAAGGAAAAGATTATATGTATATAAGAATACGTGTGTGTGTGTGTGTGTGTGTGTGTGTAAAAGATAGATAGCTATACTACAAATCTCTGTTGGTTCATTCAAAAGAACAGTATATGCTTTCATTGTTTGATCATTTTTTCATGCATAAATCTTATAACCTGAACTACCTCTAAATAACAATATGCAACATGTCAATTAGTTTTAATTTCCTACATTTTTTGAAATTCTGTATCATTTCTACTCTTTATTTTCTGTTTTACTTTTTTAAAATAAAAAAAAAGAAAGTATCCAACAACCAAAAGTTAAAGGAGAAGAGTCTTATTTGGATTCACAGTTTTCAGAGGATTCAGTCCATGGTTCCATGGCTCCAAGGCAGAAATGGTATGGAAGAGGGGTGTAACAGAAGGAAGTTGCCCAATCCATGAGAGCCACAAATCAGAAAGAGAAAAGGGAGCAGCAATGAATCCTTCCAGGCTAGCCCCCAGTGACCCACCTCCTAACAGCACATTTGCCTACTGAACTTATCATTGATGCAACCACTTGAATATAGAACCTGCACAGTTCAGTCATATTCCAAAAACATGAGTTCTGGGGCACTGGGTATATATTTTGGACCTGAACTATAAAACCAGTTTAATACACACTACATATCAGATACTGCAGTCTCTTATGAGCCAGCAGTGGGCAAGGTAGACATCACCTTAAACTTCACAGAGCTTATCTAACTCTAAATAAATAATTACTCAGTTAAACAATAACAACTGTAGAAATTGTCATGGATTGCATTTGGCAGGAAGTCCCGAGAGTAAAGCAAGCATAGGAATAAAAAACTAGATGACTGTCTTAGAGCTAGCTTGAAAAAACATTAGTTTTGTCTGCCTTTCAGAAATTTCTCAAGAGAGAATGGCAAAAAAACAAGATCAAAAAACTATTCTTTCCTGACTATAAATAAATAAAAGACCCTGAAAAAGAAAATGCAAAATGATTGTTTTGCATGATTGTTTCCATGCCTATAAAGGAGGCAATTTTCCATTTTTAATCTTAGATTAAAAATGAAGATTACTAAACTTGAGCCAAGAAGATATAAAATTTCCTCAATAGACTAATAATAGGCAATGAATAGATGGATTGATAATAACTATACTACTAATCTCTGTTAGTTCATAAAAAAACAAGGTTGTGCTTACATTGTTCAATTGCTTGACCATTTTTATGCCTATATCTTATAATCTGAACAACTACTTTGAACATAATAATTCGCAATATATTAACCAGTGTTAATCTCCTATTATTTTGTTTTGCAATTCTGTATCATTGTTTTTATTCTTTTTTCATTTTTAAAATTGAAAAAAATAAACTCTGCCAACAAAAAAAAAAAAATCTCAAGATCCTGTGGATTCACAGTGAAATTCTACTGGAACTTCAGGGGCAATCTAAAACCAATATTACTCAAACTCTTCACTGGAATTGAAAGGGAAAGCATACTGTCAGTCTCTTCCTGCAAACTAAAAAAAAAACCATGATACCAAAACCAGTCAAGAACTTAACAAAGGCAGAAAACCACAGGCCAGTTTCCTTAATGAATATAGGTGAAAAACCCTCAACAAGCTATTGGCAAACAAAATGCAACAAATCATTAAAAAGGTCATATATTATAACCAAGTTGGCCTCAGCCCAAGGAAGTAACGATAGTTCAACATATATGTCTAAAAATGTAATACATCACATAAACAAAACAAAGGACCAAAGTTGCTTAATCATCTCAATAGGCACACAAAAAGCCTTGGACAAAATCCAACATCCATTCATGATAAAAAAAAAAAATGAAGAAAATAGATATATAAAATCCTTATCTCAGTCACATAAAAACTATTTATAACAAATTCACTAGCTCCATTATAATAAATGGAAAAAATTAAAAGTTTTTCCTCTAAAATCATGAACCAAACAAATATCTCTATTCTTATCTCTGCTAGCAGTTCAGTGTCACCACATGACACCAAGTAATGCTAGTCACAGCTCCTATAGGCAGTCAGTGTCTGATGCCAGCTTTCTCATAGGCCAAATCTGCCAGGTATTGGTTCTCTGCCACTGCCAGTCATCATCATCCAGTGTCAGCTTGTACTCCACACAGTGGGTCGACTCTACAGTGTATCATGTCTCTTCTGGTCTTCATTGGCTGAGGATTTCTGGAGTGGCTCTTTGGTATAAGCAAGTCTGAGTATTCATTCAGCTTTCTCCACACTACTCAGGATAAAATCCTAAGTAGATTTACAGAACTTTTGGAACCCATACTGCCTGAGAAATGAGTCACAAAAAGATTTATAGAAACATGGAAGTAAGTCTGTACTTAAAAGAGCCTGTGCTGCACCACAATGGAGCTTGTTATAGCCTTGTAGACCTAAATTGCAAGTAGGGCCTGAGTTGGGAGGCCTTTTTCATTGAGGGTGAAGAATGAAGCTAGGGAATCTTTGGAAGGCCTGTGTGAATGTTTGATATGCAAATAAGTGGCCTAAATCCCTCCCTTCCTCATCTTAGCTACGCAACAGTATCATGCTCCTGTGTGGAAGTTTGATAACAAATGAAAACACTGCTAGATAGCCAAGGAGTAAACTGTCCCTGTCTCCTGAGGTACAAGGGAGAGGAAAGGCAAACAAGGCGGAGGGACCAACAGGCACTGGCTAAGGTATATCTCCTTGTAATTGGCAGGGGAAAATGAGACGGTCAGGTAAGTCTCATCTGTCTCACTTGAACTAAGCAACAAATTCAGCAAAATAGAAGGATACAAAATACACACAAAAAAATCAATAGTATTCCTGTACATCAAAAATAAACCCATCAAGAAGGTAATTACAGAAATAATCCAATTCATAATAGTTTTAAAATATTTAGATATTTAGAAGGAAGAGAAAGACCTCTATAAAGGAAGCTATACTAATATCAAAAAGGATATTGAAGAGGGCATAAGAAAGTGTAATGGTATTTCTTGTTCCTGGATAGACAGAATAAGTATTATTAAAATATTCAAATTACTAAAAGTTATATACAGACAATATCATCCCAAACAAAATACCAACAGCATGATTCATGGAACTAGAAAAAAGTACTTCTAAAATGTATGTGGAGCCAGAAGAGACCAAGAATATCAAAAGCAAACATGGGTAACAAGAGCAAAGCAGGAGGCATCTCAATTCAAGATTTCAAGTTATATTACAAAGTTACAGTGATTTTTTTTTTTAAAGAAAGAAAAAGCAGCATGGTACTGGCATGAAAACAGAGATGTGGGTCTATAGACAGAATAAAAGATCCAAAAATATCTCTAGGTACATTCAGCCATCTGATCTTTGACAAAGGGGCTAAAAACACTATAGAAAAGACAGCCTCTTTAATAAATGGTGCTGGGAAATCTGGTTACACATGAATCTAGATCCATATCAGTCACCTGTACTGAAATAAAATCAAAATGGATCAAAGACATGCATACTAAAGTAGAAACAAGCAATCTGCTAGACGATAAAATAGGTAAAATTCTTGAAGATATATGCATAAGCCAGGACTTTCCAAACAGAATACCAATTTCACAAGAAATAACACCAAGAATTAACAAATGGAATTATATAAATTAAAAAACTTCTACATAGCAAAGGAAAGGCCAACAGAGTGAAAAAACAATCTACAGAGTGAGAAAAAATTTACCAGCTACTTCTCAGACAGAAGACTAATATTTAGAACATATAAAGAACACAATAAATTGGACAACCCAAAATAAAAGGCCCACTGAAAACTGGGCAATTGAAATGCATCTTCTCAAAAAAAAAAAGTAAAAATGGCCAATTATACATGAAAAATGTTCAGTATCATTATCAATCAGTGAAATGCAAATTAAAACCACTGAAATTCCATTTTGTTTCAGAAAAACTATCATCAAGAACTCAACAGCAACAAATGCTAGCAAGGCTGTGGGGATAAATGAACTCTTCTATATCATTGGTGGGAATATAAAATAGTACAACCACTGTAGAAATCAGCATGGAGATTCCTCACGAACACAAAAGCTAGAAATTCTATTTGGACCAGTTATTTCCCTTCTGGATTTCTTCTCAAGAGTTAAAAACATCATGTTTTAGTGATATAGTCATACCTATGTTTATAACAACACAATTCCTAGTAGATAAACCTTAGAAGTGAACTGTGTGCCCATCAATAGATGAAGGAATAAAGAAAATGTCATCTATGGAGTACTAGTTAGCCATAAAGGAGGATAAATCTTTAAGAAAATGGATGTACCTTGAGACCAAAATGCTAAGTGAAATGATTCCAATAGACAGTGGGATTCCTTTCTGGAGGCTGATCTCTTGTTGTAGGGTCTAACAGAAACTGAGAGCAACTGAGGTGTCATCCCCATGGCTACTCTCTGGTAGACACTCAAAGTTTCCTTAGAGGAAATTGGCTCCCAATCACAGACAAATCACCAATCTATCTATGTATCTCTCTGCTAGTAAATAAGCTCTCCCTAAACTTTCCAAAGATTACCCCTGGTTTCAGCAATTAGGCTGAAGTAGTTTGCAACAACTATTTACACTTCACAGCAGCTCATAGGAGAATGATTTGCATTTGTGCCTTACGTATGTTAATTATGCGTAAATAGCCTTTTTCTTTTTTTTTTTGTTTTTTTTTTTTTTTTTTTTTTTTTGAAAATTCTCTTTTTTTGAGCAGCGCGTCCGGAGGTCCCGCGGATCTGTCTCTTGCTTCAACAGTGTTTGGACGGAACAGACCCGGGGACTCCTTTTTTTTTTTTTTTTTTTTTTTAAATCTCCCATCCACTCTCCAGGTACAAATTTTGGGACCATCTTCTCGACCATCTGCTCCTTCCAGGGCCAGCCTACACCGTTCTTTTGTGGGTAGCTCCTTCCCGCTGATCAGCAATGACCTCTCAGATTCGTCAGAATTATTCCACCGAGGTGGAGGCTGCCGTCAACCGCTTGGTGAACCTGCACTTGCAGGCCTCCTACACCTACCTCTCTCTGGGCTACTATTTCGACCGCGACGATGTGGCTTTGGCGGGCGTGGGCCATTTCTTCCGTGAGCTGGCCAAGGAGAAACGTGAGGGTGCCGAGCGCCTCCTGAAAATGCAAAACCAGCGCGGCGGCCGCGCGCTCTTCCAGGACGTGCAGAAGCCTTCTGAGGATGAGTGGGGTAAGACCCTTGATGCTATGGAAGCGGCTCTGACCCTGGAGAAGAGCCTGAACCAAGCTCTTCTGGATCTCCATGCCTTGGGCTCTGCCAAGACAGACCCTCATGTCTGTGATTTTCTGGAGAACCACTTCCTAGATGAGGAAGTGAAGCTCATCAAGAAGATAGGTGACCACCTCACTAACCTCCGCAGGTTAGACGGTCCCCAGGCTGGGCTGGGCGAGTACCTCTTTGAAAGGCTCACACTTAAGCACGACTAGGAGGCCCCAGAGCCTGGCAGTATCTGAGGGGCTCCAGCATCACTGGCATCAGGGCTTTGGCTGGACCCTCTCCCTCCAGCCACTAGGCAGTTTTTTCACCTCTTTGGAGTCCCCTCCCAAATCTTGGACCAAAAGAAAAATAAAGCCTTTCACAGCAAAAAAAAAAAAAAAAAAAAGAAAAAAGAAAAAGAAAATTCTCTTTTTTATTTAAAGGGAAAAAAAACAAAACAGCATAAGGTTACAAGTAATACAGAATTTCAAAAAAAACAGTAAGAAATCACTAGTTTATAGATTAAATATTGTCATCTTAGAAATAGTTGTTCAAGTTACAGGATTAAAGCATACAAAGTGGACATCCAAACAGTGAGACTGAAAACAGTTGTGTTCAATGATGCAACAAAAACTTAGTAATATGGTCATCTATCTTAACACACCTAAACATACTTGCAGTTGTATCCTTTAGAGCACTTTTTTTTCCTCTCTTTTACAACAACATTTACACATTTTGGGTTTTAGCCCTCCCATAGTTCTTATTACATTTTTTGGAAGAGAATAAAACCAAATATGACAAAACAAAGCAGTCAGTCAAATCAAATGATGGACATAGCACATGATGTAAAAACAGAATACAAGGTAATCAACAATGGTTACCATAATGCCTCTTGCTACGTTAAAAAGAATTGCCTATATCATTAGGTATAATAAAATTGAACAAAACAGTACAGAACAAGACCAATAAAACCTAAACATTGGAGACATTACAGGACTTCAAAAGAAGATAATAGCCAAACCAGAATGGGAGTCATAGTAAATCTTATTGCCTTCAAAGTAGTTGCCTACACCCTCAAACTTGATACTATCAAACAAAACAGAACAGAGTAAAATCAGTCAAAACAGGATGGTGGGAGCAATACAGGGCTTCAAATCAAGTTAATAGGAAATCAAAAAAGTTACTATAATATCCTGCTAATTTTTTTATTTCTTTCCCTTAATTAAAAAAATAATAAATAAATAAATAATTTTTTTAAAAGGGGGAAGATTGAGATAAAAGAGGACATAACAACATAACAATACAGGTCAAAGCATAACAATTTCGGCAACATGGTGCTTCACCACAAGATAACCCGACTTAATAGTAATTACCATAGTGTCTCTTTCCTTGAAATATTTGAGTATAACTTCATATACTATGGCTTCAAACATATCAAGGCAGTGTGAAACCATTCAAGAGGATGAAAGTATTACAGGGTATTTAGAACCAGCTAATAGAAAATGAACAATGGTTTCTATATTATCTCTTTGCCTATAAAAATTTTTGATTATACTATCACATACAATAAAATCCAGTAAGATACAACATGATAAAACCTATGGAGACAGAAGAACAACAGTTTGGTGGGACTTCAAAACAAGATGATATTAAATCAGTATTAGCTATTATGATGTCTTGTTTTCTTCAAAATAGCTGTTCATATCATCACAGGCAATAATATCAAACAGCCCAGAATAAAGCCATTCCAATTAATGAGTGAAAACTTTATAAGGCTTAAAAGCCACATAATGGGTAATCATGATTACCACATACTTTTATATATTTGAATCATTACTTACAATAGGGGAACTATTGGGAATTCATATATGTGAGTTTGATTTATTTCACTTATGAGTATGGTCTCAAGCTGCATCCATTTATTTATAAATATCTCAATGTGATTATTCTTTATAGCTGAGTAGTACTCCATTGTAAAAAAAAAAAAACCCACAACTTTTTTATCCATTCCTCAGTTGATGAACACTTAGGTTATTTCCAAGATCTGGCAATTACAAATTGTGCTGCTATAAACATGGGTGCACATATATCACTGTGGTATGATGCTTTCAGTTCTTCTGGGAATATGTCTAGAAGTAAGATAGCTGGAACAAATGGCACTTCAAATCCCAGCTATTTGAGAAACCCCCAGACTGACCTCCACAATGGTTGCACCAGTCTACACTCCCACCCAACAGTGCAGCAGAGTTCCTATTTCTCCAGCATTTGTTGTTGGTGGTTTTCTTGATCCTGGCCATTCTTTCAGGAGTGAGATGGAATCTCAGTGTGGTTTTAATTTGCATTTCTCTAATGACTAATGATGATGAACATTTTTTCATGTATTTATTTGCCATTTGTATTTCTTCATCTGAGAAGTGTGTATGCATCTCAGATGTCCATTTTTTGGATTGGATCTTTGAAGTTTGGGTATCTGGTTTTTGTTAATTCTTTATATGTTTTAGACAGAAGTCCTTGTCTGAGGGAGAGTTCACTAAGATTTTTTTCCCAGTTTGTGGATTTTCTTTTCACTATGCTGGAGATTTCTTTTGACGTGCAGAAACTTTTTAATAAGAGGTGATCCCAGTTATTGATTCTGGAAAGTATTTCCTGTGCAGTTTGAGTCCTGTTCATGAATTCTCTTACCTACCCCTATGTCTTCAAGGTTTCTACCCAATTTGTTTTCCAATAGATTTAGTGTTTCTGTTTTGATATTCAGATCTTTGATCCATTTAGATTTTAATTTAGTACATGGTGATAGGAATGAGACTAGTTTTAGTTTTCAGCATATGGAGAACCAGTTTTTCCAACACCATTTATTAAAGAGACTATCGTTCTTCCAGTGAACCTGTTTGGCTCCTTTATCAAAGATAAAGTGGTTGAGTGTGTTTGTAGTTGTGGTTGTATCTTCTAATCTATTCCATTGATCTTAGGCTCTGTTTTGATTCCAGTACCATGTTGATTTTACTACGGTTGCTTTGTAGTATAACGTCAAGTCAGGGATTGTGATGCCTCCTGCCTTGCCTTTGTTGCTTAGAACTGTCTTTACTATTCTAGGTCTCTTGCTCCAGATGAATTTTATGAGTGATTTCTCTAGATCTATGAGGTATGTTGATGGTATTTTTATTGGGATTGCATTGAATCTGTATAAGATTTGGGAGAATGGCCATTTTCACAATATTTATTTTTCCTATCCATGAGCAATGGATGTCTTTCCATTTTCTGAGATCATCTTCAATTTCTTTTTTCAGTGTATTGTAATTTTCCCTGTATAGGTCTTTCACTTCTTTTGTAAGAGTAATTCCTAAATATTCATTTTTTTGGATGCAAGTGTGAAGGGTGTGGCTTCTCTTATATCTCTGTCTGTGATTTTGTTGTTAGTGTATGGGAATGCTATTGGCTTTTGAGTATTGATTTTGTATCCAGCTACATTACTGAATTTATTTATTATATCTAAGAGTCTTTCAATGGAGTTTAGGGGTCTTCTATGTAGAGTATCATGGCATCTGCAAACAATGATAATTTAACTTCTTCTTTTCCTATCTTTACCCCTTTTATTCTCTCTCTAATTGCTCTGGCTAGTATTTTCAGTATTATATTAAATAGGAGTGGTGATAAAGGACATCCTTGTCTTGTGCCTGATTTTAAAGTAAAGGCCTTCAATTTTTGGCCATTTAGTATGATACTGGCTCTTGGTTTGTCATAGATGGCCTTTATTACATTGAGGTAAATTCTGTAAAGTTCTTATCATGAATGAATGTTGGACTTTATCGAAAGCTTTTTCTGCATCTATAGATGCACTTTCATTGAGGCGGTTTTTACAGCTTTCAGTGGAATTTTTGATTTCCTGTATATCTCTGTGCATCTGCTTTATGTATTCTGTTTGTTTCTTATATTGCTCATCTAGAGATTCTATCTTTTTGTTTAGTTGCTCCAATTTTTTAACTGTGTTTTCTTTAGATATATTCAGCATCTCTTCACTTCTTTTATCATTTCTTCTTTTACCTAGATTATTTCTAGTTTGAATTCCTTTAAAGCTTCCTGGAGTTGCTTATTTCAGTTGTTATTATGTCTGATATTTGAGGTGTATGTCATATATTTTCTTTTGTATACATCACTCCTAAGGTTTCTTTGGATGGGCTGGAGGTTTGAGATTGTAATTTGGTCTTTTGTTTTGTCATTATCCTATACTTCTGTGTTTCAAGTGTTTCGAGTGTTATTCTAAGGCTTCCTCAGGGTCTGTTGGAAATCTTCTTCTATGCCCTCTCAGCTCGTGGGACTCTGGCACCCAGTTCCCTGGATTGATAGAGGGTCACTAGGGGTGGCGCAGGCCAGGCTCAAGCCCAGCCTCTGGAACCGGTGGCGCCTGCCTGCTTGCTTAGAACTCCACAGTCCTCCAAGCACAGCCAGGAACAGGGAGGCGGATGCAACCACCCCAGACCTGCCGAGCTATTCCAGTGCACCCGGAAGGTGCAAGGGTGATAGCCTTTTTCTTTTAAGTGGGCATAGAAGATTGATACGCCTTTACTAATGCTTAAAACTTGACTGCTAAGTTCAACCTGTGAGCTTCAAAGATACAAAAATTTAAATAAAGCACAGCCATGTTCCAATGCTTGGAAAGATTCCCAAGGTGATTAGATGGGTAACACTTCTTGAAGACCTTTTGCCCTAGGGCTAAGGAATTCCCCAAGTGATGTGTTGCTTTTATCTCTCTCAAAAAGGGATCTCCTTCACAGCACAGCCAGAGAACTGCTTTAACCACTTGCAATTCAACTATTTACATATATCCTATTCCAATGAACAAAAAGCAATAATGCGTTACAAAGTTATGCCTCCTTCTTTAAACATTCCTGACCAATTGTAACTTAAGTTTATAAATGTGTTATAGAAATAGAGTTCACAAACTACCTGGGAAGATAAGATTGCATGTCAGTTTAAGAGAAGGAAGGCTGCTCAAATTTTGACTTCTACTCTCTCCACCTGCCCTGAGTGGAATCAGCCCGAGGGATGTCTTGAAGACATTATCAAATAGAAATAAGAAGGGGACATACAATTTTTTGTTGTTGTTGTTCTCTTCCTTGCAGTTCACAAATGGTGCTGACTCATAGGAAAAGGCTGGTGTCTGCCTCTCCCCACAGCAGCCCATGCATGGTGCCAATTTGCAGGGAGGCTGGAATACATTCTTAAGTGCTAGAAGATGTTCAACACTTGCATGTTGCTTTTTACATTACACACATGGGTAGCTCAATGTCAAAATCTCTTACTCCTTTGGAATGCATTCTTAAGCACTAGAAGATGTCTCACCCTTACATGTTGAAAAGGAGCCATTTGATATTTCTCTGCACATGTTCACAGCCAACCTAGCCCCTAGAGCCAAAATGGAATTCA